AGGACTCACAACGCAGGAAAAGAGAGAAAAGGGCTGGCGTGGAAGAGGCAGTTGGAGAGGGCCCGCTCTGAGCAAAGTGCCTTTAAGAGATACTTTAATTTTATGGCCTTTTAGAAAGGGTTTTGTTTTTTGTTTTGTTTTTTTAATTTGGACGTGTGCTTCTCTAGCAATAAAACACCGAAATGTCTGTCAGACAGATCGATTCTGCTCCATCGAAAAGACGAGGCAGCTGCTTCTATCTCTCTCTCTCTCTCTCTCTTTTTTTTTCCTTTCTTGCAAAGAAAAGGGGGGAGGAGGAAGAGAGGGAGGATATGATTTTTATCTTCTTGTTTTATTGGGGAGGCCGCCATTAAATCAAAGGAGAATAATGGAGCCTTCCTCGGCACCCCCTCCGAGAGATCCCCCCACCCACCCCCCGCCTTAAATAATGCATGCTTTTTCCAGTAAAAAGCAGATGAAGTCAGGTAGCTGCGCCCGAGAGAATGCAAGGCAAGAGGGCTCTCTCTCTCTCCATTCAGGCTTTGTGGCTTTGGATTGGAAACCCCGCACATAAATTTTCTCAGGGTGAAACTTAATGCTGGGAAGATCAGGGAGCTCACCATGCTGAGAGTGCCCAATTGAGGAGGCCAGTCGGATAAAGGCCTGGAGACTAAAACATAGGAAGAATGGCTGCAGGAATTGGCTATGGCTAATCTAGAGAAAAGAAGGACTGGGGGGGGGACACATATAGCAGGATTCCAGTATTTTGAGAGGCTGCCACAAAGAGGAAGGGGTCAACTTAATTTCCAAAGCACCAGAGGGCAGGACAAGAAGCAATGGTTGGAAACTAATCATGGAGAGAAGCAACCTAGAATTAAGGAGAAACTTCCTAACAGTGAGGACAATTAATCAGTAGTACAGCTTGCTACCAGAGATCGTAGGTGGTCCATCACTGGAGGCTTTTAAGAAGAGACTAGATAGTCACTTGTCTGAAATGGTATAGGGTTAGGGTTAGAATAGAATTAGGATAGGATAGGATAGGATAGGATAGGATAGGATAGGATAGGATAGGATAGGATAGGATACAAAAGAAAAAAGAAAATATAGAATAGAGATAGGATAGGATAGGATAGGATAGGATAGGATAGGATAGGATAGGATATAAAAGAAAGAAAATATAGAATAGGAAGAAAAGATAGGATAGGATAGGATAGGATAGGATATAAAAAAAAAAAAAATATAGAATAGAGATAGGATAATAGGATAGGATAGGATAGGATAGGATAGGATAGGATATAAAAGAAAGAAAATATAGAATAGGATAGGACAGGACAGGACAATAGAAGTAGAATAGAATTAGGATAGGATAGGATAGGATAGGATAGGATAGGATAGGATAGGATAGGATAGGATATAAAAGAAAAAAAAGAAAATATAGAATAGAAATAGAATTAGGATAGGATAGGATAGGATATAAAAGAAAAAAGAAAATATAGAATAGAGATAGGATAGGATAGGATAGGATAGGATAGGATAGGATAGGATAGGATAGGATAGGATAGGATAGGATAGGATAGGAATAGGATAGGATATAAAGAAAGAAAATATAGAATAGGATAGGACAGGACAGGACAGGACAGGACAATAGAAGTATTAGAATTAGGATAGGATAGGATAGGATAGGATATAAAAGAAAAAAGAAAGAATAGAATAAATAAATAGAATAGAATAGAATAGAATAGAATAGAATAGAATAGAATAGAATAGAATAAGCTGGAAGGGACCTTGGAGGTCTTCTAGTCCAGCCCTCTGCTCAAGCAAGAGAACCGAGAAGACTCCAAGCTCCCTTTCCAGCTTCTATTCTGAATTTGAATCTGAAGTCTGCTTGCAAGCTTTAAAACCCAGATTCTCAATTTGAGAACATGGGGACATTGAATAGTTGTGGATATGTCTTTATTTGCTGCTGTGTCCCCAGCCCGAGGGCCATGATTAAAAGAGGAGCTACTGTAGGAATGACCGCTTGTTCTTGCACATTGAATCTAGGTCTTAAATGTTTCAGTATCCCGTCGGCATCTTCTGTCTTTGGACTGACTCTGTAGAGCAGCCCTGGGGGCTGAAGCAGCTTGACCTACTTCTCTTTTTTTTGGGGGGAGGGGTCTTTGCATCTTCCGTCTTTTTCATTTTTTTGTAACAACTTGTTTGCTAACAAGGCCTGGAGAATTCAGAAGCTCACCCTTATCCTCATCCATTCTCCATCTTTTTCGTTGCTTCCCAATTGCATTGCCTCTGAGCCACAGGCACGTACATTAAATACCATATTTTTTGGAGTACAAGACGCACCGGAGTATAAGACGCACCTACCTTTTTTAGTGAGGAAAAGAAGAAAAATAAATCTCCCTCCGCCTCCCAGCAATTTTGCCTCCTTGCAGCAAACAGCCTGCTTTACTTTCATTTTTGCTTTCAGCATAGCTTGATTAGCACAAGGAAAAAAAAAATCTGCTCCAGCAATTTACCTCTTTGCAGAAAGCAGCAGAGCCCTGTGCAAAACAGCTGAGAGCAAATCTGCTGAGAGTCGGGAGGCCGATCCAATCAACTTGTGCTAATGAGGCTGTGCTGAAGCTGAAAGGAGCTGTTTCTTCTTGCTGTTTGCTGCAAGGAGGTAAATTGCTGGGAGGCAGAGGCCAAAGGGTGGGGGCCAGTGGGTGGGCGGGGCTACATTCAGTGTATAAGACGCACCTAAATTTTCACCCCCTTTTAGGGGGGAAAAAGGCGCATCTTATACTTCGAAAAATATGGTAGGTGCTAGTATCTGCGATCAGGAAAAAGCATTAGACTTTTATTTATAAATAACGAACGTCCAGGGTGATGTAAATCCTTCCATCAACCAAACCCTCCTCCTATCCCATTTCTTGAAGGGACAAACAAATGACATTCTGTTGTCGCCTAATGGATTCAGAGAAAAGTTTGATTTAATCAAAAATTGTTTTGTGCTACTGAAAATATTGGAGTTTGGAGGCCGGGCAGGGGGGGGAGATTGTCCAGATACAACTTTATCAGCTAGTTACACCCTCTTAATTGGATGACATTTAAATATAAAGGAATAGTTTTGGAAGCAAGTGGGCCCAGACCTATTTATATCTCTTTAATCTTTTTATGGGAAAGACTGGTTTCTTTTCCAGAATTTAAAGCAATGTTTCTCAACCTTGACAACTTGAAGATTCGCAGACGTCAATTCCCAGAATTCCCTATGCAGCTCGGTTGAGACTGTGTTTACCCTTCTTTTTATTTCTTCGTTTTTATTGTTGTGAGCCGCCTAGAGTGGCCCCCACAGTGACATAGGCAGCAGATAAAATTAACAAATCTTCTATATATATATAAAAGCGAAATCCACTCACTCAATACGAAATCTCCAGAAACTTGAAATTTGCCACGTACGTTCCTCTTGGCTTCTAGGTGCTCGCTAAGAAAGGATTTTTCGAAATGACCATCAGATCATTAGTATTTCATATACAATATTATATTCACACGCTCCGATGCGAAAGAGTTAGATGTTCTACTCCCCCTCCCCACCTGAAAAGAACTCTGTTCCAACTGCCAGTTGCCTTACATTAACATGCTCTGATGCTATGGAGCTACACATTCTACATTAAGTTTCAGGCTTTAAGTGTCAATTTATCATGCCCGATCACATAGTTTTGAAGCAAAGCACAGGCATCCAGCTAGTAAATAAATATGGCTGGGGCACTGTAGGCTGGTCCTTCTCTGTTTCCAGGGCGGCCCCGTGGGCCAGATCTAAGCCCGCCATGGGCCAGATCCGGCCCCCGGGCCTTGAGTTTGACACTCCTGCCATAGAATATCACAGTTGGGGAGTGTTGTGGCTCTGTTGCCTGAGCCTGGGCTATCGACAGATGCAGACTCTGAGAGTGAGGGAGAGGAGTTGGCAAGGCCTCCCTATCCAGGACCCTCTTCTCTGGCAATGCCTCCGGAGAACACCAAAGGCCAAGAGATAGGCCCAGAGCCAAGCATGTCCCCGCAGCCACAGGTGGACAGCGACGAAGTAGATAAGTGCTGGCTGGACCCTCGGCAGCAGCGGAAGGAGAAGCGTGCGCAGCAGAGGGGAAGGCGTGCCAGAGATTAGCTGAGTCACTGGACCACACCCCACAGGGTATAAATGTGGGTGTGGTGGCCGGTTCAATTTATGATGAGCAAAAACTAGAAATAATCCATGATCTCTGCGTTACTGGACTTCTGCCTGCCTTGTCGGACTGCATTTGGACTAATCCTTGTATTGTTGAAACTTTGCCTGCTTTATCGGAATGCTTGCAGTCTAATCTTTGTTTTGTGTGAGTAAAGTCTGAATTGGCAGCTAGCCACTCTGTTGCTGCCAGCTTTATCTTCAAAGATTTTGTTGTGTGGCTTATTAACTCCGGGCCGTCTGTGGGGGTGCGTGTGTGGGACGGGGACAGAACAGGGAGCCATGGCCCCTTTATTATCTGTGGACCTCAACTCCCAGAATTCCTGAGCCAACAGTTGAAGTCCACAAGTCATAAAAGGGCCATTGTTCCCAACCTTTGACCTAGATCAGGGGTGTCAATCTCTCATCGTCACGGCGGCATCATGTGACAATGCGGGACTTTTTCCCCCTTCTCTAAACCGGGCAGGGGCGGAGCCAGTACGTGACGCATCCGGCTTGCGGCCCAGAGTTTGACACCTCTGTCCTAGATCAGAGGTCTCCAACCGTGGCAACTTTAAGACTTGTGGACTTCAATTCCCAGAGTTCCTCAGCCAGCTTTGCTGAGTGAGGAATTCTGGGAGTTGAAGTCCACAAGTCTTAAAGTAGCCAAGGTTGGAGACCCTGCCCGAGATGAAGCTTTGGGTGATCCAAGATGGCTGTTCTTAAACATTTACTCCTCTTTGGGCACCAATGCTTGCTTTCCCATCTGCTTAAACGTAACTGTCAAAATGCATGCTAAAATATCTAAGGAGGCTTCTTCTTCTTCTTCTTCTGTTCTGTGGGACAGACTTCGCCGGCAGCAGAACCTGCCTCTCTTTGGGAAGATCCGTGGGTCACGCTTTGGTCCGGACGAGCCCGGAGATTGTACCAGCGACTTGGATGAAGACGAAGACTTGAAAATCCAAGTTCCGTAGCAGCTGGTTGTCCAAGCCTGGAGTTACTGAAGGTTGCATCTAAAAAGCCAGGAAGTTGTGGAGCTGAGCTCATTGGCTCTTGGGCGAGATAGTTGCTTGTCCCACCTTTGAGCCTCTTCTTTCACCTGACTTGAAAGAGCTTGACTTCAAAGAGCTCTAGACAGATAACGTTAGCTGTCATGCGCTGGTCTTCATCAGAAGAAGATTTGTGGAGAAGTTCTGAGAAACTTTCTTGAAAGTCATACCCCCATTTCTCCGTTTTCTTCTCCTAGTTCAGCCTCAATCCATCAAACACCACTGAGACTAACAAGCGCAAAATACTATAAGCTTCACGTAACCCAAAGCAGTGAGAACCATCTCCTCCTGGCATGGAGAGAACATGTTTAACCACAACTCTACAGCCTTAATTTCTCTCCCATTTAAACTGTCTGCAAATGCTACTTCCCTTGAACTTTCCAATTCTTCAGATCCATGATTTGGGGATGAGCTCACCTGAAGCAGCAGGCCAAGGAGGGAACCAAAATGTGGGAGAGAACAAGTCAGGTTCTTTGTTACCAGAGGTCCCGCTGAGTCCATCACCTCTTTCCCCCAAACCAACCAGTCCAAAATCTTCTGACATACCCATCCCTCTGTATCTCATGAGGTCTGAAGAGAAGGCAATGGAGGCACCAGAAAATCTGAGAGGTGGATTTTTCCATCTTGTTAGCATATATATATATATATATATATATATATATATATATATATATGTACGTGTAAATATATATATATGTACGTGTAAATATATATATATGTTTTGTATGATAACATTGAACTAGCCATGAAATTCCTGCCTGTCTACAGGAGAAAAGTTAAGAGTGAATTCTTGATATGCTGTGTCTCAAAGGCTTCGTTTCAAAAGGCAAGTGGACTTTTTTTGAGGAAGAAGAAGACATTTTGCTTCTCATCCAAGAAGCTTCATTCAGTTGTGTGATAATGAAGTCATCAAACGGATAAAGCTTCTTGGGTGAGACATGAAACTACTACTACTACTACTATTACTACTATTACTACTACTACTACTACTATTACTACTACCACTACTACTTCTTCTTCTTCTTCTCCTTCTCCTTCTTCTCCTCTTTCTCCTCCTCCTCCTCCTCCTCCTCCTCCTCCTTCTCCTTCTCCTTCTTCTTCTTCTTCTTCCAGTTCACTTCTGAGACAACTATGACCTGGATGACTGAGAATCTCCATAGACATTGATATGCCATGATTAACCATCTGCTTTGTGCCAAAAGATCTAAAACATCCATTTGTGGGGGAAGGGGCAATGGCATATCAATTTCTTTCCCAGCTGATGCCTCTCCAGTCATTAGTTTTTTAAGAGCCTCCAGTATTAAACCATGGTTATGTAGCTTTCTCTTAACAGGCTGCCCTCCAGGCGATTTTCTCTTCCTCCTTCTCTTCCTCCTCCCCATTTATTTTAAATCAACACAAGTCCTTAAAATGAAGAGAAAGCCACAAGAGCAGCTCTCTTGGGCTTTGGCCCACAGGATCCATTCCTGGATCTTCTGTAGATCTTTTTTTGATGCCTCCTGCAGCCATTCTCAGGAGTGTTGGGCCACAGCACTTCTATTACACATTCTCTCGCATTTAGCAGCTACTCAACAGATGGATTTCTAGACACCGTAGGCCTTGGACCTACATCACTGCTACAAAGTGTGTGTCTTATTGTGGTGCTTGCCAAAGGAAGATGTTTTATCATTTCCCTTCAGCCATCAGAGTGGCTGAATTCTCAAGAGTTCTCATCCCACCACTGGTGGGAGTTTAGCATTCTACTTGAACATATGCCTTATTCACACTTGGTACTGTGAAGTCATGGTTTCAAATTCCAATCATCTACAGTTGGTTGAATTCATGTAGGCTAAGCCAACATTAAACCTCACTATAGTTTGACATATTGGATGAAGCCAGCCCTTCTATGGGGATGGGGGTTTCTCTTGCTAGTTGGAGGTTCTCCATATCAGGGGTGTCCAACCTTGACAACTTTAAGACCTGTGGACCTCAACTTCCAGAATTCTGGCTGGGCAATTCTGGGAGTTGAAGTTCAGAAGTCTTAAAGTTGCCACGGTTGGACATCCCTGCTCTATAGTAAAGGCCGAGAGTCAGTCCTTTTCAACCCTAGGAAGAAGACAGTGGTAAGCCACCTTTGAAAAGACTGCAAGTTTCCATCCAAGCAATTGCCCATTGACGGGCTTGACCAAAAGAACTAAAATTATTCTCATCTCAGCTCCTCATCCTAATTCAACAAGTTTCATCTTCTTTATCAATGTGGGGCGTACTTTACGCCACATGTTTTAATGTCCAGCTCCTCCTGCAGTGGTTCCTCTAGAACAGGGGTCGGCAACACTCAAAGAGCCGCAAAGGTCCTAACCGGAAGCCCCCCGTTCAATTCAGAGCCGACCGGAAGTCCAGTTGCCCCACCATAGAATCTCCTCCTAGCATGGCACCTTTTTTCCTCTACCCAACAAAAAGCTCTATCAATTGTGGAGCCAACCGGCAATAGGGAGCCGCAGCAGAGGGATGAAAGAGCCACATGCAGCTCCAGAGCCGCAGGTTGCCGACCCCTGCTCTGGAAAAACCTTCTCAAAAGTTCAGGACTGCAGCTCCCAAAATTCCTCAGACCGCTTTCAGAAGGATTCTATTGCTTGGGAATTCTGGAGGTCGAACTTCCAAATACACCTCAAAGACCCCTTCGGAGGGTTGGAGAAGGGGTTCTAGAGGCCAAGACTTTGTTTTGCCCACAGGACTCAATCATGCCAACTAAACATGTCTGACAGCTTTGCAAGGTGTCGTCTTCTTGACCCAAGAAGCTCGATGCAAAATCTGGAGCGCCAACTAAGCTGAGCAGGGCAAACTCACAAACGGGGCCGAGCCGCTCGATAGTTTAACCTCAAAGAGTGAGGAAGCTCTCGCGGGGTATCATTTTCCAGGATCACAAAGTAAATAAACAATTTGATCACCAACAAAATCCTGCCTACCTACGTTTTTGATCCACGTCATAAGTTTCAAATGAAAGCCGAGGAACATTTCCAAGAACGATCTTTGTTAGTTCGTTAGTAATTCTTCGTTAGAATGATTGCTTAATATCTCTGTCCCTTCCCAGTTCCACTCCCACCTACTTTTCCTTCTCCCATACTTTCTGCTTTTCCTAAAGAATTCCACGTCCTTTGCATCTGCAAGTTCATTTCTTGAAATCTGGAGAACTAAATAACTAGTTGGGAAATACATGACCACACTCACAATTTGCTCAGCTGGCTGGGGAATTCTGGGAGTTGAAGTCCCCACGTCTTCCAGTCCCCAAGGTTGAGAAACACTGAGTTGGAAAACTGGGAATCCTTGTTGCGATACAATTTAGGTTTGTTTGGTACCGAACGCACAAAAATCTTATTTGTTGCTGATCTGGTGCTCTTTCCAAAGCTGTGAACAGATGTTGAGTGAAACTCCAGGACGTGAAGGTCTCCCACAGGTACCATTGACTTCACAAGCTAAGAAATCGTTTGTTCAACTTTGTTTTTTTGATTTTTTTTTAATAAAACAAGAATTTATACTAAATGCGTTGGGCGGATTTGATCACAGAGAGGGAGAAGGGGCATAAAGGAGTGCTCGACTTAACAACAGGGCACTTAGTGACCGTTCAAAGTGCACCGAAAAAACCTTTTTCACACTTATGACCGCTGTAGCATCCCCAGGGTCGCGTGATCAAAATTCCAGATGCTTCACAACTGACTCAAATTTATGACGGTTGAGTTGTCCCAGGGTCACGTGATCCCCTTTCGCAACCTTCTGACAAACAAAGTCAACGGCGAAGCCAAATTCACTTAACAACCATATCCTTAACTTAATGACCAATCAGCTCACAGCCCTTTTATTATTCCTCCTCCACCTCCTCCTCCTCAACCCCATTCCCTTTTAGCACTGATGGCGTTTCCTAGTTTAGTAATGGAACGTTTGCAGGACAACAGCCAAACTCAGAGAGTACCAAGGACCCCACAGTCCTTTTCTTCCTCCTCCTCCTCTTCCTCCTCCTCCTCCTCAACCCCATTCCCTTCTAGCACTGATGGCGTTTCTTAGTTTGGTAATGAAACGTCTGTGAGAAAACAATCAAGCCCAGAGACCACCGATGAGCCCAGAGTCCTTTTCCTCTGTCCCCCCGCCCTCCTCTCCTCCTCCCACTGATGATGTTACCTAGTTTGGGTAATGAAACATTGGCGAGGAAACAACCAAGCTCAGAGACCACCAAAGACTCTTCACTTTGCTTTATATTTGCATCACAATCCTTGGCCAGTAGGCTGTCTTGCCATAACTATGTTTGACGGTCGGGAAGGTTTCTTTTTCTTTTTCTTTTTCTTTCTTTCTTTTTTTTTTTGTTACTGTCGGGGGGATTTTCAGCGGGAAGGGAGAGGGTTCATTGGAGGAGACTTCTAATGATGGATTTAGTGGGGGGGGGACACCAAAAATTCCACTTGATAGTGTTCTGCCGCAGCTACGGATCCCAAAAAACGCAGCACACACAAAGTCCTTTCAAACTTTAGTTTACTGAATAAACCAGTCTTTTACAATAATGGCTGTTAATTGCATTAACGGCCACCAAGAATTCAAAGAATAATAACTGAAAGCTTACTATGGTTGGCAGAATGCCCATTTGCAGGAAGCTGATAAGATAAGCAAGACAAGACACGAAGGTATGTGAATGAAGTTGTTCCCTGCAAATTGCTTCAGTCAGCGTTCCTCCTTAAATAAGCTAAGGGAGTGGCCAATTAGCCCCAAGCCTTACTCTCGAGAAGACCTCCTCCTGAGGAGCCACTCCTGCCTTTTGGCAGCTCTGCGCGCGCCCCGTGCATTGAGAAGAGGCTCCTCCTCTTCCTCTTCACTTATGGACTTTCTGGAGGTTCTGAAGGCCCCTGGCTGAATCCCCGCCTCTGGCACCACATCTTCTCCAGTCTCCTCATTGTCCGACTTGAGTGCCAGCTGCACAGGCTGCTGGCGCAGCACCACACCAGCCTCCTCGCTGTTGGAATCAGCTACTAGCTGCACAGTCCACGTACGGGCCACAACAGATAGTCTCTCGATCGGTATTCTGACAACCTCAGATTCTTCTTCCTTCCTTCCTTTCTCCCCGGTTTTATTTATGCGTAGGCACCCACACGGGGCGTGTGCCTTTCAAAGGATCCTTCCTCTCCCGGAGTTGCCCCATGAATAAAACATGGAGCCTTGCAATTACCAGATCACACGGAGGCTTCCTCGGCTTGACAGCTAATACGGCTTTTGGAGAGGAGCCCAAAACGATGCTTAAAAATTAAGCAATAATGGCCTGTGATAATAGTTCTGTAGCAAAGCTGGAGTTTGTGTTTCCACCACGGCAGAGTGATAGAACGAGTGTGAGCTCACTTCCTCCCCGCACTGAGATGCAGGAGCGTGCAAGGGCTCTCAGAAATGGTTTCCAGGGAAACCACGGGGCGGACTTTTTTGGATATGGACCGCCTTTGCGAAGTGGGGAATGTGTTAAAAAGGTGGGAAGATGCTGGCAGACTGTATATCTAAACTTGGCTTCTTTCTTTTAACTACAAGGGGTCCTTGCCTTACGACCACAACTGAGCCCCGAATTTCCTAAATGGCTAAGCAAGAAAGTTTTTAAGTATTAAACAAGTTTTATTGATTTTTTTTCTTTCGCATCCA